GTCATTCTCCTCACTGTCAACCATACAATTCTTATAATGTTAGTTCAGATAATTTAGTATTGGATCAACAAATTATCCCCTAATTTATATTTTTCGCTATTCTCATGACTTATCTGGTTGATATTGCATTGATATTGTAAGGAGAAATTCTGTCTTGGTCACTCATGGGAGTTAAAGGGTTAAGGAGATGTTGAAAATGAACTTTGAGACAACCTATAAAATTTTGACAACTATTTTACCCCTCTTATGATTTTCCATTTCAGTTTGAGCCTATTTTTGGCAAAACCACAGACTGAAAAACTAGTTGATTATAGTTTGAGTTCAAATGTGCACCATAGTTAGTTACTATCATTGTCTATCTGTACCATTTCTATAGGGCTTTGCAGTAAATCAGTGTATATGTTTTGAACTTGATATGTTGACTTCATTTGAAATACATTTTTGTTTCAATGTGTTGGTGTTGACCCCCAAATTTCTTCTGCTGCCCCCAGTTCTGTTTCGCCAGCAGTTAGTAGTCTCGTTTTTCAAAGAGCATCAGGTTTATTTTTCTGATGAGAGTGCTATATTCAGGCCTGAAATTATACTTCGGTTCATTTCCCCAAGGACATTGTGAGACAGTTTTGTGAATTCCCTGAGAATGATTTATCATCTGTGAATACTAAGCCCACTGCTCCTCATATTTCCTAACCAAACCCAAAGTGAGTTTAGGAGTATTTCAGCTTTCTCTGGGAACAACATATGCTTTGTGGTGTATCATAAAATGAAAAGGGGATATTTAAAAGTTTTGTTTTGCCATAGTGCCTGGAAGTGCATGCTAGAAATGATTGAAATTGCTTTGCATTGTGTCATACCGAAGAGTGTCATAGCTTATTGTTTTGCAAACCATATTTCCCATTGCTTGATTTTAATCACTGTCAATGGTTTTAGATGTTTTGTTACTCAAAGGAAATACCAAAGAAGAGACAAAAAAACAAAATAATTGAAGATGCAAAAAAAGAAAAAAAAAAAAGAAGTGAAGAATGTCATAAAAGCCACTTTGCAGCATACATTTTAACTTTGTCAGTCATGAGTTATGATAGTTGTGCTTTGATGCTAGTTTTGCCAAAGAGACCTCCTATTGATTAGCAGGGATAGTGGAGGGCATATTTATTTACTTAGTAACACTTCAAACCTGCTCCCATGCTGACACACCCCCATTTTTCCCAAAAATATTTCTTCCCAGTAAGGGTTTGACTGACATTGGAAAACATGAAAATTTTGTGAAAAGATTTAGAATTTACTTTTCTCCTTTCAAATTTTCAGGAATGTGGCTGACATCTGGAGGATCAATTTTGTATTACTTCATAATAATTATTCATAATAATTACTGACATTTTGATGAAAAATCTTTTTTTCCTCAAATATGATAACAAATTTATGCTAATTTTTCTGAAATTCTTATTTTAATACACTTTAATGTAAGATAATGTAGGGCCTTATTGCTATAAATACATGTAGAGGTAAAAAAATGAAAACACAGTGTGGTCAATTTCATGTATTTTTGGGGGCCATAGATGAGTTAAAGTTTGCAAGATCAGTACTAATATATATGACCTAAATGTAAATGAGTGAGCCATTGTTTTATATATGTTAGTGCATCTAGTTCAATCTGTTTCCTAAGGACTGTGAAAGGTGTTCACTGTAGTGTAGGGTAAAACTTTGGAGTCAAGGGAAAGATCATTTTCCTTGATGAAAATTGAATTAGTTGGTAGTGACAAAACTAATCAGTGATCAGTACAGCATTCTGTGCCACACAGCTTTGGTCCCATAACATCTACTTTGTCAGTTTTTCTAAGTCATTGCATAATCTGGTGACTGACATAATATGATATGTCTCTGTGTAGAACAGCCCACACATTACTCAAAGTTCTGTTAATAGACAGACATCTTCTGATTGGACATGGCACTACTGGATGTACTGAAAGAATGATACATAAGGGAACTTATAAGAAGCAATAAGCACATTTAGAGGTGCTCAAAAAAGCCATAAAGTTACATATATTGTTAAGTTCAAAAAGGCACTAGATAGAGCTCTTTAGAGGATTCCATGCACAATCAAAATCCCTTGGTAAGATAACTCTTCTGCCAAAAGAGAACTAGTAGTAATAATAATGATAATAATAATGAGACTTTGATGATGTTCTTTTTGGGTCTGAGAGTCTGTGTCACCTCAGTATAAAAACCTGATCAAAGAAAATGGGTGGTGCTTGTGTTCTTTAGAGGGTAATTCTTTGAAATAAGACCTTCACAATGAGGACTCCCGAAGAGTCCCTTTACTTTGGTTCGGAGAACACACACCTTAATTCCTCTCAAAAGGGGAGAAAACAAAAGACTGGAAAAATTTTTTTAGCCATAAAGCACCTTAGGAGGTGCTCTAAAAAAGTCATAAAGATACTTACATTAAGAATTAATGTAAAGAATACAGTTTTTAACAAAGTACACTCTGAAATTCTTAGTATCACTCAGGCACTGTGTGTATCTAAATACACACAGTGTGTGTACTTTATGAAGAATTTGAGTGTGTAAACCATTAAAAGATGATTTTTTCGTTAATCTAAGTATCTTAATGGTTTTCTTGGGCACTTCTTTATGTGCCTCAGGACACAAAAAAACTTTTTTCCAGGTTCTGTGTTTTTACCTTCTTGTGAGGACTCAAGATGTGTGTTATACGAACCGACTTATGAGGACCATTAAAAAAGTCCTCACTATGATGGTCTTTTCTCTTATTACAACGTATTTATGAGGACTTTTTTGTGGGGACTTGAAAATGTCCCCACAATTTGAACAGACCCCACTTTGCTGGTGTGTATTCATATGAATGTCCCCATAGGTGTGCAAAGGTGCACGCACACACACACACACACACACACACACACACACACACACACACACGCGCACACACACACACACACACACACACACACACCCATACATATCTGCTTTAACGGTACATGTAGTAAAGATACACGTCAGTAAACTACATCACTTGTAGGAGGGTGTCAGTTTGGTTAACCGTTAACCGTAAAAAGGGCTAACTGAAAAAATTTTTTCTTTTAAACATGTTAACAGAAACAAATTAATCGTTAGCCGTAAAATTGCTAACATTTTAACTGTTAGCCGTAAAATGGCCAACATTTTAACCGTTAGCCGTAAAATGGCCAACATTTTAACCGTAAGCCGTAAAATGGCCAACATTTTAACCGTTAGCCGTAAAATGGCCAACATTTTAACCGTTAGCCGTAAAATGGCCAACATTTTAACCGTTAGCCGTAAAATGGCCAACATTTTAACCGTTAGCCGTAAAATGACCAACATTTTAACTTTTAGCCCTAAAATGGCCAACATTTTAACTGTTAGTTGTAAAGCCATCGCCCTACTGAGACCCTCATGTAGCTCGTGGGTGATTAAAGAACTTTTGCGTTAATGTTCCATGCCAGAAATGATCGACAATATGAATGGCAAATGTGAATTTAACCTTTAAAACTTGTCTGTGTTCTGTCACAGTCTATGACAACATTGACGCTTACGTTGCCTTGATGAGCAGTTCCTTATTTTGTACATGAATTTCTCGTATCCGATGATGTGACCTAAAGTACTGAAATAGGTTGTACCTTTTTGTATCCTTCATGATAGCATTAGAGAAGGCCATGTATCCGACCATTAGATCAGGACTGGCGAAGTTTGATGTCCGTTTACCCGAGGAACCCAGAGCTATGTTAGCTACTTGTTTAAAGAGTCAGCCAAACTTGGCTTACGCAGGCGAGGTACTTAACATTAAACGGTTGTGAATATATGGAAGTCATATATTTGAACTGCGGTTAAAGACATGAGTATGAAAGCGATCTTCGCAGTAATGAACACTGCTTAGTAGTAATGAAAAGAAGGCCTGAAAAAATTTTTTTCAGGCCTTCTTTCACTACTGCTTAAGTAGTGTTCATTACTGTGAAGATCGCTTTCATATTCACGTACTTAACATTGTTAAAATAGGCTTGTAATGGTTTTCAAACACATGTCCAGTTATCTAAGATTTTTTGAGAAATGCTGGGTTTGTGTAATGGTCATGGGATATTCTCTACCCTGATTTGCGATCTGTGTTGGGTTTGTGCGCGGTCTAATGCCCGTTCTTAATAAGAAAAAAAAAAGATTTTTAAATAAACCCCTTTATGAGGGCCGTGCGCAGTTGCACGAGCAGAGACATTAAATGCTGCACGGCTAAGCGTACGGTCCCGCGAGAAAGAAAAAGGAGTGCGGTCATGGAATAAAAATGGAATAATTGATTAAGTAAAATCAAGCCGGACCGACATGACCCTTCTACTCAGTCCATAAGTGCACAGAATTCTGATGTTAAAGCTGGTCGCTTATATGGTGTAACTTAATTACTTTATGATCGTATTCCCCAGGAAAAAAACGTTTCTATCAATTTATTAAAACTAATATTTCGTTGTTATGTTTGCAAAGTGAAACCAAATTTTTTTCCGGTTTAAAATCAGAGTTAGAAAAAAAAAAACAAAAAACATCTCTAGCAGGCATTTTGGACTCTAGATTTTTGATTACCAGTGAGGGAAAATAATATACTGGAATAAAACTTTATGACAATGATTCGCAAATGATTTACTAAAATTTTAAGAATTTTTGGAAAAGAAAAAGAAGATAGGCTTATCTTAATGTTTTTGTAATCGCACGACATTTATTGTTCATACTGCCCGTCTCCTTGTCTTACCAACTAGTTTCCTCTGACTTGGAGTAATTAAAAATAATTCGAAATACTGAGACTCGAAATTCTTTTCGTTTCCAATTTGCAGAGGTATTTGAGACAAAAAAGTTTTGAGACAAAGAAAAAAAGGAAAATGTAACGCCGATTTTTTTCGCTGTCATGTTTTCAAGTAAAAGATTAGTATTTCTTTTGTTTTATTCCTTTAGCACTTAAATCACCTCGTGCCTTGGAGGAATTACGAGAAGCAATGGATAAAGACGAATTGAAAACATTCCTTACTATTCACATCAGGGAAGGTGCATGGCAGGTGGTGCTGCTGTTTATGGATGAGCTACCCGGATTTAAACTACCATGGGACTGGTATCGAGAGGACGAGGACGAGGACGAAGAGATGTTTCGTACACCGTTGTATAGTTCGACGTCAGGCATATTGAAGGCGTGGCCAACAGAGTACGACCCTGATTTGATAACACTGTGTAAAGCGATCACCAACAGGGACTGGAAAGTAACCAGATTAATCATCTCTAGCAGTCGGATATCTGATGAAGGTTTGAAGAAATTGAGTACAGCGCTTACTCAGAGTGAACTTTACAGCTTGACACTGGATAGCATTGGTTTACAAAGTCAAGGATTAGAACACCTGTGTGAAGCGCTGATCAGTAGTGACTGCAATTTAAGCAGCTTAAACGTCAATTGGAATGTTTTTGGAGAAGTAGAAATAATGCTCTTGTGTAACGCGCTAACCAGCGTTAACTGTTCATTAACCAGCTTAAACGTCGGTTGGAATCAGTTGGGAGACGTAGGAATAATGCCCTTGTGTCACGCGCTAACCAGCGTTAACTGTTCATTAACCAGCTTAAACGTCAGTGGCAATCGTTTAGGAGACGAAGGAATCAAGCACTTGTGTAACGCACTAACCAGCGTTAACTTTACATTGACTTGCCTAAACGTCAGTTGGAATCGGTTTGGAGACGTGGGAATAATGCACTTGTGTAACGTCCTTTCCAGCGTTAATTGTACATTAACCAGCTTGAACGTCAGTAATAATGGTTTAGCAGACGAAGGAACGATGTACTTGTGTAACGCGCTAACCAGCTTTAAATGTAGATTAACCAACTTAAACGTCAGTGACAATTGGTTAGGAGACAAAGAAATCATGCACTTGTGTGACGCACTAACCAGCGTCAACTGCACATTAACCAGCTTAAACGTCAGTGACAATGGGTTAGGAGACAATGAAATCATGCACTTGTGTGTGACGCACTAACCAGCGTCAACTGCACATTAACCAGCTTAAACGTTAGTGACAATGGTTTAGGAGACCAAGGAATTATGCACTTTGTAAAGCCATAACTGATACCAACTGCAAACTACAGAGCTTAAACCTGCGAGGAAATCGGAATATAACAGACGCAGGCAAACAGTGTTTGTTCGAAGCGATAACTGGCACTGACTGGGAAGTCAGAAAAGGCTGGATACTTTGCCGTTCCATTAAGTCAGAGGCATAAAGCTCGGATAGGCTCCTCTTATTTCTTATCGCGTGTCAATTAAAATGTGATTTTTATGAAAGATTGAATCATTGTTTGACGCTTGTTTTGTAGTTGGATAAACAATAGTTTGTTAGGTTATCACAGGTTATTGACTCTCCATGAATTGTCGATCAAACTGTGTATTCTAAACGACTCTCGGTGTGGCAGACTAAACGTCACCATCAAAAATTGATGGCATAGTTAGACAAACTATTATGAAACTTTCATTGATGTTCTGTTCATGTTAAGTTCGTTTCAGAAAGAAGGTTAAAATACAGTAGCTTGATAAGTCTTTTTTGTGGAAGCGTAGATGCAATTCTGTGTTAGAGTTCCGTAGGATGCAAAGAATATTGAATCCCTTTTTTTATAAAGTAGTTAACGAATATCTGTCTTTTGAAAGACAAAATTTCGAACATTTTCCGTAAACTAGTGACGTACAAATAAGATAAGAATACGTTTAATTTCAATAGCAGATGATGTTTTTTTTGTTAGTTGACTTAAAGATACCATGTAACAGCTTAATTGAAAGTTCTCTCCTTTGTTGTTTACTTAGTTCTCTGAGGCAGATTTGCGTGTTGGAAAAACTATTGTATTCTCTTTTAGATTAATTTAATCAAACTTAACCCTTTAACTCCTATGAGTGACCAAGACAGAATTTCTTCTTATTCAATATCAACCAGATAAGCGACGAGAGTAGAGATAAATATTAATTTAGGGATAATTAGTTGATCTAATACTAAATTCTCTGAACTAACATTATAAGAATTGTATGGTTGACAATAAGGAGAATTACGAATTTGATCTGGGAGTTATAGGGTTAACCTGGGAAATCATTTTAGGCAAAGTTTGTACTCTAAACTGTTTTTTTTTCAGCTTAGCTGATTTTATCACGAACAAAATTAAGTAATACTCTCAAAATTACTTTTTGGTATGAATTTTTTTACGGGTTATGCAGTTTTTGTGATAGTATAATCCGTTTTTACTTTCATAGAGTAGGTAGGAATGTTATGTAGATGTTTTCTAATTATTAACATGAGAAGTTGTTGTCTTAGAAGTTGCAACTCGAAAAAAATATCATTTACATACATATTTTATAATTTTTAAATATGGAAACAAAAGTTTTTACTGCAGGTGATTTTGTACTTTTATACGTTTTGTTTATAACAAGTTTTGATTCGGACCATGGGCTAGCAGGGGGTACTCTCCTATGTATGCTACAGGGATATGTGCCGCCAAAAAGGATGAGGTGTCCTATGAAATTTTCGTCTGCGACAGGTATGAACCGCCACGATTTTAAATTGGGTTTGGTAAGGAAACTGCGAGAACAAATGAACACATTTCCCTTCAACTCCAAATGAATGAAAGAGAAAGAGGAGAAATCAAAGTCCGCCATTTGAGCGTAATTTTCCATGTCAATTGTACCTGCCAATTCTTGACTTTTGCATTGATACAAAGCTCAATCCATTTAGACACCACTTGTCAAATTCTTATTTAAGACGTACAAGTCATTAAGGAGCCAGACATTCGCCTGGAGGTAGGGGTGAGGGTGGAGGATTTTGGGAGATAACATGGTTTTTAGGGAGAGTGGAAGGGGGATCAGTCGTTGCTAACAGAGTAGAAAGTGGGGAATATAGAGAATTGACTACCAATGAAGTGTTTGTGTGTGCGTTGGGGGGGGGGTACATCACAACATTACAGAACCTTAGGGGATTAGGTAAATGTTATTGTGACAACCAAATTCCTCTAACCCCCTAAAGGTAATAAATAATGACCAGTCCCAAAGACTCGTGTAGATTGATAACTGTTAGGCGAATCTGAGACTCAAAGCTCCATCAAAGACAAGAGACCTATGTCAGAGAGCTCCTGTTTACCAGTGACTCTGTCCTGGTTGCTATTGATACTGAAAAGCCCTTTTCTTATGTACGTTGAAAACCTCGAAATGGACAACTCGCTAAAATGCGTTCTTTTCATCAAAGTAAGCGGTCAGATAACAAACAATACGCTGTGGAAGTAAGGTGAGGTACTTTCTTTGAGAATTTGATGTATTTTTTTGTTCCTTAGAGCGGTCGTAAATATTCCCATACAAACTCTTATAATTCCGCCATGACTGTTATTACGCAAGATGATCAGCTCACAGCTGGAGCTTGAGCCGCCTGTCTATAGACTAGCGACTAAGTACAGGGATGGCTCCGACCTGTAATTGGATGATAAAAATAGAAAAAATTAATAAGTTATATCTTAACTCCTCGCTCGTGAGTAATGTTTATCCAAGTGTCTCGAAGCGGAACAATGAAATATCAATGCGAGTGAAAACACCGACGTGTCAAACAAGAAATGGCTACTTACGTAGCGGGGGTAAGGCAGCCTTTCTTGTTCAGCGAGGTCGTTCAGCGATATTCCGGCGATGAAAAAGTCATATGCTGATTAGCTCCGCTGACTAAACTCATTTAGTCAGTTCAGGCGGACGACCAGAGACTGGAGCCATTCCTATATTTCACAGCTGACAGGAATAGCTCCGACTCATTGAAAAAAAAATAATAAACGCATGCATGCGTTTATGAATTTTTTAATAATTTTTAAACAGTTTAAGAAAAAAAAAACCAAACTAGTGAGTAGCACTCTGCGAACAGTAGTTGTAAAACTTCTTTATTCTCCGACGCGTTTCTTCTAACTGTCGTAAACTTCTTCAGGGAATTTCTACAAGTTAACACTAAACGCCTTATAAGCCACTGTTAGCGGCTATTGCAGGGGCCAATGACCATATGGTTATGGCTGAACCTACATGCGGCAATAGGCAAAGTTGTGAAAAATCTGGAAATATATTTTGAAAATTTTTTACGAAAGGTGAGAAATATATATTGGGAGCCACGGTTTTGGATGAAAATCTTACAATTTAAAATTTGAAGAGGTTTTTTGTACATATGATGCCTGGAAAGCACTTTGCAAATTAGGTTAGGATGGCTCTATACTTTACAGAAAAACGTGGTTTACGTTCTACTCATTCTTTCTCAAATTTAAATGGTATAAATACCTTGTCTAAAAACAGGAATGTGATACAGTAGCAAACGAGATATACTCGTTCCAAAACAGCGTCATGTGATGAACAGCCTTCGCTAATTTTAGAACAAGTTTTAGAAAATCATTCTACCGGCAGAAATATTGGACAAGATGGCGGCCGCGCTTGCGCATTTCGTCCAGATTGGGGTCCAAATAATATAAGAAACTGTGTGGAAATTTGTAAAATTTCTAAAATATAACAATCAGGAGCTCATGGTCCCGTCTGCTCTCGATCGAGACATATTCAGTACTGATTCTGCTATTTATCAACCTCACAGGGACTCGATAAATAAAAACCTCTTACTTCCTGAGCCAGTTCTTTTGTCATTGATTATTGACCTAGGTCGCCATACAGTTCTTCAAAATCCGTCGTTCTCCATCCCAAACACTCGCCTATTACAGGAAAGTGCATCAATAAAGTCAACTGCTCTCAATCGAATTGACTGCTACAGAGTTCGAAGCGTCCAAATATCCTGTAAAATTGCCACATGGCAGTCCATCTTCTCTATCTTATTATATCAGTTGCGTGACAAGCGTGACACAGAAATTCAAAGATGAGTCAACCTCCGAAATACCAAGAGGTGGGTTTTTTCTCCTCTTTGCATGACATCTAGAAAAACCTTTCGGGAATTACTGCATTTAGAAAACTAAAACGTCCAGATCCATCAATGATTCCATTGCCGGCTGAAGTCAAAGTATGATTACAATAGTCAATTTGATTGACAAGCTACATACTGATTTAGCTAACTGATCTGTTTTATAAGCGTCTCATCTTACATGCTAAGACATGGAGATTTGCTGTTTAGTTAGATCGTGCGCTGGTGGAACTTGTGAGTTTAGTTATCGAGAAGACCAAGTCGTTCCCTTGCGTGTTTGTTAAAAAGACATTTCAAGTCACTTGCGGAGTTGCAAGTTTTCAGATCCAGAAAATGAAGTTGATCTTGTCTTGTCGCCTGCCGGCATCTTCGAGACGCCAAAAGATATTGATGATTTTACAAATTGCCCCACTCACAGATCAAATCTCGGTGTTGGGTGGAATCGTGGTTCCAATAGCAGATGTAGGGTGCCAAAAGAAATGTCCGGCCATGGTAAAGGTAGGGTTAAGTCGATCCAAAAGCTGATAGGGGAATTGGCAAGCGTGTATAACAGATAGTACTCAAGATGTCTGGAAAATTCACACAATCTGGCTTCGGTAAGTAGGCTACTTACCACCGTGAGCAAAGTTACACGTGACGTCAGACTTAAGTTTCGATTGAAATTGGCCAATAGACTACCAAAATTCAGAGAGAGGCGGAGTTTTCTGAACTAATGTCTGAACACTTTGTTGGCTTTCCGCCGTCTGAGGGGACGCGTAATTATGCACACGGTGGTAAAGGGCCCTTCCGCGCTAGCGACTGTCAAAACTTGTTTCTCTTCGCCAAAAATCACATCAGAATTTTTCCTTGCTAAATGTCAAGTGTGTTGCACGTATCAGCACCCCCGGGGACTCCTTTACGTAAGAGAGAGCGGGGTGCGCGCCTGGAATTTCGGAAACGACCGCTATAAAATTATAAAAGTACTTAAGTCTTATCCGTGTGGGAGTGGCAACAATTAGCTTGTTAAAAACAAGTGTTTATGTCCTTTCTGTCTTTTTCAATGCTTCCCTCGCTCCTACAGAGGATTCATACAAATGAGAGCCGTGCCGCATTTACCTTGCACAGGTAGAAAAGGTCGTCCAGAATGAGTGTTTCGTTCTGTAATGAAAACCCAACGTACAATTTTAGAACACAATTATGGTGGCCGAGGGCTGCCACTCAAAATTTTTACAACTTTTCAAAGATTTAATAAAAAAATAAAAAGAAAAAAATAAATCAAAACTGAAAGTAAAATGGAACGTGACTGCAAAACAAAGGAAAAAGAACGATTGAAAGTAAAATGAAGTA